TAAGTTTTCCCAAGGACATAGTAGAAATAAATCCTATTTATGAAGTCTCAATGAGAAGCAGCAGCAGAATATCAAGTGTTCATGACAGGAGGAAAATACCTCCTATGAGATGAGTAATGTTTCTGGTAGAAAAGAATGTATTTGCTGAATTACCTTCAGTAAAGGAACATTTACATAAAATCATATTAATTTCAGGAAGGTATTTAATATTTCTGCATTTGCTGAATCCATCTGACCAAAAAAAGTGGTGTGTAATGAAAATGTGTGTTGAAGATGTTACTTTTGGAATCAGAGTAATATTATCCAAGTTTTACTCAAATATTTCAGTTTATACATAGGACTTTGATGGAATTGCAGTCTTGCTATGAACCATTAAGGGCACATTATTCCATATTTTTAATTGAAATGGCACAAAACCTATAGCTTGTCAGCATAAAAAAAAAAAAATATGCTTTTCTAATGCCTACAGAGAGCTATATTTCACCATCTTTCCTACTCCCTGGGTACTGCTGTTGTCAGTGATAGGCATTTTTGAAGTGTAAAACAAACACAGGAACACTTTGTTCCTCTATATGCTCTGTTTCACTGTCTGAGTAATTCCCAGATGACTCCGCGGCACTCTAAAACCATTGGATTGGTTTTAGAAGTGGAAAACAGCCACATGATTATGTTTGAAACCAAAACCATTTCATTTCCATTGCTGTAATTCTGCCTGAGTATGTCTAATGTTGTGCTGTATATTTTCTAGAGATGTTTTTCAAAATTTTTTGAGGAAACTTCTGCAGTTGCTCTGAACATTGGATTCATTTATTAGAAAGTTCTTGCTAAAACACAACTGTTTGTAGTAGAGGTATTTGCAGAAGCAAACAGAAACTGCAAGGAGGCAACAAAAAAAAAATATAATTCCTATTCTAATAGTACAGAAGGAATCAGCAATGTGTGTGGGTGTGCACAAATCACCCAAAACCTCCTCAAATGGACTCTTTCTGCTCTCATCTCTTTTCTCACATTTACAAAACATTAGTCAAACCTTCAGCCACAACTGAGGAATAGTGATATATAGGTGATAAGCAGATGTCTGAAAGTACTCCACATAAGGGGTTTTTTCTGATTCAAACCAGAGTTATTCAATAATCTTCTATTAATCACCACTTGTAAAATTTCACAACTATATCTGTGTTGCAGAAGGGCTCTGGATAAACTTGTATGATCGCTCCTGGCTCCTGAACTAGTAGCTGACAGAAGTGCTGCATCCAAACTGTCGGACAGAGTAGTTTTGGGTTGTTCCTTGGACTTTTGGTTTCATGCCCTTGTTCAGGATAGGAGACCTGTCAGAGGACACTTGCTGCTGGATGCTTGTGTTTTTATCCAAAAGAAAACAGGGCAATAGAAAAGCAGGAGAAAGGTGAATGGACATCAGAGGAGGGGTAATACCCTCCTGACTCTCATCCCAAAATTTAATAAGGATTCATCCGGTCCTTATTTCCAAGACTGGAGGCTGGGGAGTATTTTCGAGTTAAATGGTTACCTACTGCATCAAAGTTTTCTCTGTCCTTTCTAAACTCCCAGATAATTCCTCCTCTTTACAAAGGCACTACTATAACCACGTATGCCTGAAATGCAATGGAGGTACTCAGCATCAGCCTCTGTCCTTGGTCTTCCAGAGCAGAAACAGTTCATAAATCAAAGGCAATTGCCAGCCATGTTCCCAGCAGTCTCATCTCTACAGGGACTTTTTACTGAATACTCAGGAAGCAAAAATTCCTCAGCAGTGAGATTTTTCTTTCTAGTCTTTCTTCTGTTTTGAACTCTGAATCCTCCTTTCCATATCAATGATATTTCAGAATTTCAAGAGCTGCTCAGAAACAGATTACCTTTAATGATGAAATACTGCATATAATCACTCTTTTGAAAACACAAAGTAAATCCAGTTCCATAGACCTGAAGAAAATATTTCCATGTTTCGGCAAAGTTCTTACATATTTTACACTGGTTCTGCAATCAAATGATCCAAACTAATGCACAGAAGAACATTCTCATAAGTTTAGCAGTATTATTAGCACTAACCAAATTAACAGACTAAAACTTCTGTGTGAAATGAAAGCAGAGGGTACTACTTTACACAATTTCCCTAGATGGCAATTGAAATGGAGGCTGCATGGGTGGCAAAGAGAAAGGAACAAGCATAAATGGCCATCTAAATTCCAAATGCCTTTCCTACTATGGGAAACATTTTGTAACGTTTATAATAAATGGATTTGGTTTTAAATATTAGATGGTAACAAGAAATGATTCAGTATGACATTGATGACTATTCCAATAAATTTAAATAGATTTAATTTAAATTTGAAAGGAAGGCATCACAATTGAAAATATAAATTCTGTGTGTTCTAGGGCATTATCTTGATTTTACAAGGCCATCTGCTTATTACACTATTCTGTATGCAACAATGTATGTATATAATACCATTAATGCAACTTTAGCAGTGCAGTGTTCCATGAAAATACTAAGGAATGGTAATAATGACATCAAGCTACAATAGGGACATATGTGTTCATATTTCTTTTTCTTATTGTGGTGAGTTTGATATATCCATCAACATAAACATCACCATCTGCAATGAAATACAAAGAATTTGAAAAAAAATAAAGACATGTAATTGTTGCATTTTCCTTTGCAGGTTGTTATGGTTTTATACCTTATGATGCTCCCTTGATGCAAAATACCAGTATAAACTTTTGAGTCTACTACTATTTAAGTAATAGACATTCAAAATTTTGGTGGTTTGAGAAGTATAAAAACTCGTTCACTTTTAATTTCCACAATGCAGCATTTTTAGTTTCCTATTTTTCAAACAGTATACTCAGAAAAGTTGCAAAGGCAGTAGCTAAAAATTGCCAGAAGCTAACACAGGAAGGAAAGAACTGGAAAAATCTTTCCAAATAGGTCTGTCACTTAAGGTCTCAGAGTTACAATAGATGATTACTAATCAGTGGATAAATTACCCACTTTTCAGTAAAGTGTTATTTGTACAGTTTGTTTTTTGCTTTTATCTTTGTTGATTCTTCTGTGGAAGTATTCAGATTAAATCATAAAGTACTGTCATCTGAGAAGACTAATTTCTTCCTGCCAAGCAGTTTTAAACGCCATACAGATATTATGATTTGAACAACCCAATATGTAGGATGCCAAAAAAGACTAAATAACTTCATAGGTCAACTTCCTCCTGACTTGTGGCTAAAGACTGCTCAAGCTCAGTTTCCAACAGGTTTCCTTTGTGTTCCTTCAAGCAGCAGCCACAAAAGAAACATTCACTTCTCTGTCAAAATACTGAAAAGATTGAAATGTCATTAGATCAGTGATTACTACAAATGGAGTTTTTTATTGAGGATAGCCTGTCTTTCACATGGTGCACAGTAAATAGAAATCATTCATTATATATGCACATCTTGATGTACTTGTACCGAAAACCATTTGTAGATTCAGATCATAAAACTGGCTAGTGTGTGAAGCAAAATGCAGACTTTGACATTATGACTCCTTAGTGCACAGCAGTACAACATTCCTGAACAAGGTTACTACAGTTTTTTAATGAATATTTTCTTGGGTTTTGCAGTTAAGTTTTAATATTTGATGCTATAAGGAAAAAAAGTAAAGTGTATTATAGAATCATAGAATGATTTGGATTGGGAGGGACCCTAAAGATCATCTAGTTCCACCTTTCAGCCATTGGTGGGGACAGCTTCCACAGGACCAAGTTGCTCAAAGCCCCATCCAGCCTGGCCTTGAAGACTTCCAGGTACATGGCGTCCACAACTCCACAGGGCAGCATAGTCCAATGCCTCACCACTCTGTCAATAAAGAATATTTTCCTAGTATTGAATCTTAATCCGCACTCTTTCTGTTTAAAACTATTTCCTCTTGTCCAATCTAGCACATCTAGGAGAACATTGTCTTTTCAGGAAGATCATGTTAAAAAATAAAAAATAAAGTTAATGTATATTTGTAATCATTATCTAGAGACTTTTCCCTGGATCTTGTTTATCTGTGAAACTTGTTTAATTATTCCCTTATTCCTGAATAATTAACTCTTCTTGGTCTCTTGGGGTAGTTTTTCTTAAAACCTCATCAAAAATCGCCTTCTGCCTTCAGTGACACTGTGGTCCAAGGCTCCAGTATTAATTCTTTGTTTTATAAAGAGTATTATAAAGAGTATATATGTGAGCATGTATTTATAAAGAGTATTAAGAGTATTATAAAGAATTTACAGACATTTTAAGTACAGTAATTGTAGAGTACAATTACTGTACTTAAAGTCTTCTTCTACAATTACTATACAAAGTCTTCTTCAATAAATTTAATGCAAATTAAAAGACAATTATAACTGACTGTCTCTTGACTACAAGTGTTTGTTGTCAAATAAGAAAAGGTACCTAGTTAAATTTATTTTTAATTGCCTCCTTTTGAAAGGAAGAAAAGAAAAGAACAAAGGCAAAAAAACCGGAAGACTAGAGGGCAGAGAGGAAAAAAAGAGTCTTAGGCAAATAGCTTATTTGGCAAATTAAACATTTGGATTAGTATGGAGCAGATTGTAGAACAGAAAATGCTGAAATCAAGATGATCAAGGAACTGTCATATATATCAAATAGTTGCATCACAGAGTATGACATTAAAAAAATTAGATTCATTGAGTCCCAAGGACAGATGGCACAAGCAGATGAATACTGTACTTCCCTTTAAATGGAAATAGAAGAAAAATGCATATGACAAGACTTTGAATAATGCCACTGACATTAATAAAGTTACTCAGATTATGAATTTGGGTGCTGGAGAACAATTTATGTCGTATCTGGAAAAGAGTTCAGTATCTCAAAAATTAACTCAGGTACTTTGAGACTGAAGGCTGGCTAAGGAGATACCAGTAGCTGCTGAGCATTTTGAAACAACAGAAACAGAAGAAAAAAGTCAATAAAGCCTCAAATGAAATGGGAGGTTATAATTTGCTGCAATAACTCTGACAAGAAGTTTTACACTTGTACTGATCTTTTGTTCTAAGCTACTCCATAAAAGGATTTTCCATCCAGGCAGAGAAGAGCAGTAAACAGCCGGTCTACAAATTGCTTTCTAAAAAATTTGCTTTTTCTTTTCCTATAGCTTTTCTAAGTGGCCTGAAGCTAGAAAGCTGCTCTTCTTATTTCAGTCCAACTGCTTACCAGAAGTCTGAGACATTGCCAGTGCTTTCAGTAGATTTGTGGTCAATGGAGATGGGCACCCCCTGAGGCTGCCCTGTTTCCTTCTCTTGGACAATTTGGAACAGTTTGTAGGTCTGAACATGCCCTAAGAGAAGAGTTCTAGGAAGGAATTTGGACAAGATCATGGTTTTGCAAGGAGAATCTTTCTTCTGACCAGGAATTTGCATTGCAGCTCAGTATTGTTCTTGACACCTGTACACATGGAGGACCATACTGGATGTTTTCATCAAGATTTATGATAGAATTTGCATCTCTTTTACTTGCTTTTCTGAATATGTATTATGTGTTTTTTTAGGCATCAAGACCTGTGAGGAGAAGATGGCTGAGAGGGAAACGTAAGAGGGGCAAGAATGACTGTACTGACCTGGGAGTCTGCAGCTCATGCTTAAACAAATAGTGCAGTCGGGAGCAGAGAGAGCTTTGAGCAGTGACTCAGATCTGCCCAGGGGCCAGAGAATGCTGCAGTTCACTGCAACTCAAAAAATTGCTGAGATGCCTGGAAGTAGCAACTCACCTTTAAACACACAGTGAGGAGAACAGCTGTGTACAAGTCTTGTTTTTTTCTGAGTCAGTTTTCTTTGAGAATTTCCAGGCTTTGTTCAACACAATTAGGCTTTTATCTAATTTTCTTTTTTCACTCTTTAAGAACCTTTTTGGAGAAATAATTCTAGCTACAGCCACTCCAAAACTGTAGGGTTTTCAGAGTCCTGCCCCAAAAAGCTCGGGTGTCCAGTGAGAGAAAATGCTCTATAGTTTAAAACCAGGTTAGACTTGGATGTCAGCAAAATGAATCTTGTGCAAAACTGCTTATGCCTTTATGAAAGGGACAGTGGGGACTTGTTGAGTTTTCCCATCCTACAGAAAGTGCAATTTGTAAGGCAAGGGCTGATAGCATTGTGGTTTTCTAAGTTGTTTGACATTCCAAGTTTCATATGCTCTACAGGTATCATTCAACTCTAGCATCAGATTAATTACAGTTTTGCAGAACAAAATAAAATCCTTATCTTGTGCATGAAGTAGGGAATTTAAAGCTTTGTCTCAGCATGTTTTTGTGTTCACAGGAATAGGGATATAGCAAGTAAGAATATTCCTTTTCCAGCAGAAGTCTTTTGATTTCTGGGCCTCTGTTGCCCTGTCAGCAGGAATGCCAAGAACTGAAATCTCTGTTTTATGTAAGACATTCCTACAATGCTTCTGTATCAAATTTAATTTTAAGACTATGACTTTTTTTTTATGCTTAAACAATTTGTCAAGCTTGCTACTTCAAGAGTTTTAATCCTGTTCCATGCAGATTCAAATATGTTCATACCACTTCTGTAATAGGATACTGATGAGTATAGTCATTTTGTCCTAGATTTTTATGATGTAGATGGAAGAGAAGAGAGATGGCAAAAGTGTTCTTAACACAAAAATATCATGAGATGACTGGATGGGGACAAAATACAATGTAACATCTGGACACAGATTTTTCTTGTACCATGTCAGTCCTCAACTGCGTGAGGATGTATGGGTGAGATGTAGCCAGTATTATCACTTTAGTAGCCCAAAACAATCAACAAAATTTTATCTTCAAGTATTTATTGCACCCTCTTCTCTTTTGTTGGTAAAGAATACACTGTGTCCCATTTTTAGGTTTCAATATGAAATACCGACTCTTCCTGTCTTTTCTCTGCTGATAAAAAAAAATCCAAAAAATATTATACAGTTTATGTTTCTACACTAATAGAAGGGTTTTTATCCCCTGCAAAATGGCAAAGCACAATTATATATAAAGAAGAAAACAGAACTTGCCATACTTGGTAGTCTCTTTCTTCCTCTTCCCCCTGCCTGTGCAAACCTGCAGACAGAAAATATGGGCAATCAGTTCAACATGAAACCTCATCTGGTGTCACTTTTGGACTTTCTCACAATAAGTAGTAAATGTGTTTAAAGGGTTGCTATTCTCTTTTACATGCTTCAGATTGCTTAGTCATAACAAAAAGTAAAAGAAAGGAAACACTTGGAAGGTAAAATATTTTCTTGCTGCAGTTGCATAACAAAATTTGTTTTGCAAATAGAAAACAAATTTTCAGTATTTTAAAATTCATGATTTATGCATAATAAATCTAGGATCCAAAGACTAAAGAGCTGTCTCTTTCTAGCACTATAACTGTAGCATATTTCTGCTGTTTTATTCTTACAAAAATATTCCTGTGTAATATATTTAGTCTTACTGACCTTTGATATTTTCTTAAAAATTAATTGTAGTTACTTAATGCAAATGTCTTAGCAATGCAGATATTTACATGGCAGTAGTGTTTCAGATATTGCTGTAATCACTGATGATATCTGTGCCTAGTCTTGGAAACAATTTTTGTGGTTGCTTTGTTGTTTTTATTTGGTGGCTTGTTTTTTGGGTTTTTTTTTTTGTTTTTTTTGGTTTTTTTTTAATTAGTACTATGGCTAGTTCTATAGACATGACTGTCCTCACAATTGTCAGTCTCTCTGTGGAAATGTGTTGGTTTCTTCTAAACCAATCCCTTTGGGAGACATTCAGGGAAGGTACTGGAGCTAGGAACATTTTTTATATGACAGAATAAATTCTGTCAGATCGAAAGTACATGTTCTGAAGAACTGAGGCATAGTTTAGCTTTTCTTGTTTTCCTAGTGAATGTTGAGAATTGGATTTGGGAAACATTCATGGATATGCTATATAGGAGACAGTGGTCTGGAAAGAATCATACGTGCGTAATTTCTTTGCATAAGCAACTCTTGGTACTTTGAAAGAGAAATTTGTTGCATTTGTGCCTGTTTGTCATGGAAAAAATGGAGGGCTGTGGTTAAAAATACTAATTTTGATTAAGGAATACAGATCTTCCTGGATTTCTAGTCACAGTAAAAAAGCTGCTTCTTAAAGTCTAAGCAAAAGCATCTGGAGCTCAGACCCTTAGAGATGTCCAGGAGGATGCTGAACCTTGTCTGCAGCCCACACATCCCTGCACAAGATAAAGACAGTTTTTATGAGTATTCCTTTCAATGTTTAGTTTTACGTTCCTCTCACAGAACAGCCAAGATCATGAAACAAGCTGCTGTCTGCAGCAAACAGTTATTAATAATTCTGAAACTGATGGTCAACATGCCTGCCATTCCTGATAAGCTCTGTGCTAGCTGTGGTACCTAATGATACCAACACCTGTGTCCTCCTCAGGTACAAGCAACTATTCAGACTGGAGCTTGTATGTGAATGGATTGCACATTTCCTTGGATGTAGTTTAAGTCAGAATCAAAGATCTAACAGAAAATGATCTTCTGCTGACTGGGTGGAAGGACAAAATACTTGAGAAGCTCTTGCTTATCAGGACATGTTCTTATCTTCTGAGCAAAGTAAAAAAAATGGTAAAAAATCCAGTGAAGTTTTTCAATATTTTCTTTGGTTTTGTTTCTCAAAACAGCAAGCAATTAATATTTAAAAATATATTTCAAATGAAAGCTCAAGTAACAAAATGCATGACTATTATTTGACAAATGATATTTCTCAAGCATAACAAATTAGTGGAAAAATTAATCCTAAATTTGTTTCGAGCTAATAGTTTTACAAAGCAAATAAGTGATTCGGCAATGAAACAAAATTATCTAAATATACACTTCAAGAAAATAATTTTAATTGTCAGACTTATTTCCTCAAATGAAAATATTTCTTAATTTCTATAGCATTTCAACTGCTTTGGTAGACACAGAAGTTTAATACTTCACAGTTAAGGTGATAAATTCTGCTCTTCATATATTATGTGACCACATGCATTGTCTGAGAATAAATTTGATTGTCTCAATTGTATTGCAGACAAGTGCTAATGAATTTAAAGTCTCTATACAGATTAACTGTTTACAGTAAGAAAAAGTCCTTCCCATGTCAATACTATTTTTTTTCAATGCCTATGTTAAGAAAGATGGAAAACAACTATTCATCACTGAATTTCTCTATATCATAGATAGTTACTCTGTAATATTTCTCCCACTTCTGTCTCTTCTCAGCTGAAACATCCTGTTTTGTTTCATTGTTACAATTATGGGAAGCATATAATCTTTATTGTTAATTCTGAAAATTTACAATTTTTTCTGGCAATGGGGGGAATCAGAAAAGCAGACAGTGTTTGAAATATTTCTATGAATTGATTTATTGAGGTTGTTCTCAGGAAGAAATCATAGAATCATAGAATGGTTTGGGTTGGGGCAGACCTTAGAGATCATCTGCTTCCAACTTCCTGCCATGGGTAGGGACACCTTCCACTTGTCCAGGCTGCTTAAACCCCATCCAACTTATCCTTGAACACTCCCAGGGATACAGAATTCTCAGCTTCTCTGGGCAACCTGTTCCAAGGTCTCACCACCCTCACAGTAAATCATGTAATCCTAATACCCAATCTAAATCTACCCTTTTTTAGTTTGAATCCATTTACAGTAACTATAGCTTTATCAAGTAAAACTAAAGGCCGCCTTTGAGTCAGACTTCAAAGTGACTCTTCAGACTCCAGAGGTGTAATTATTTAAAATGTGGGTGGATTCAACTTAATTGTGCTCCTACTTGGACTGCCATTGTGTGGACAACTGGAACAAAGACCCCATGAATAAGTCTAATAATTTAGAAAATATGTGTTATTCTTGTCCTGTTGCCAAAATATTTTATAAATAATTCCTATGTCTGTTACTGCTGGATGAACTGAGAAGCTGAATTTATTCAATTTTTCAAACAAATCAATTTTCTGCTCTTTGTTGATGGCCATTGTAAAAAGGGTTTTTAATTACCTTGTTCTTCTATTGTTCCTCTTTACCTTTCCATTTTAGAAACAGCTATACTGCTGTCTGCATAAAACTTCTACTAAAAAAAATTGGTGCTTTGTTCTTTGGTTTAATAAGCAGAGCCGAGTAAATTAGACCTTGATAACAAATTCAGTTGAATTGTTCAGAAGTCTATTTATTTCCAAACAGAAAGTACTTCTGATAAATCTTTCCAAGGAAGCAACAGAAAAGCCACTGCCTGTCATACCTGACTCTCATGGTTTGACACAGAAAAAGAATTTTCTTCGAAGGAAGAGGTCAATATGGATATTGACCAATTGAAGGTAGACACACCTCTGAGAACACAGAGGGGTTAAAAGCAGAATTCCCAGGAGAACTCGCTCTCTTGGGTTCTGGTCAGCGGTCAGTGCAGGACTCTCCCCTGCCCGGCCACGAGCTGGGTGGGGGAAGGGAGAAGCCATGTGGCCTTCGGAGGTAGGCCCAAGGGTGGAGGGACTGGAACTGGGCTGGCCCCCTGCAGATGGAAGGGTGGAGAAATCTGGGATGTCTCCATTCCCCCCCAGAGTCTCGCTCTCCCAAGAGAGAAAAAGAGACAGTGGCGGTTTGTCAGCAGTTCACTGCGGGGAAGGAGAAGAGCGGGAGGGCCGCAAGGTGCCCAGCTGGGCTGTGGGAGCTGGAGCCTGGGCAGCGAGCCATCCTTGGGAGTCGGGACTTTTAACCCTTCCTGAGAAATGAAAGCTTTGTGAAATTTTTCTCCTCCTTGGTTTGAAAGAAAGGAAGAGAGACAGCCTGGACCCTGGGATACTAGAAGGAGAAATTCTAGGTGGGATGAGATGATGGAGTGGCTTTTGGCTGGACTTTTTCTTGGTAGCCACAGACTGAACCGATCTTCTCCAAGAGAGACTGTATTTTAGGATGATGCCAGTGAGCCAAAGAGACCATGCTTCAGCTGGGAAAAGACAGAAGTGGAGCAAACAGAGAAAAGTTAGGGAGGTTTGTGGTGGTGCCCCCTGTCTTCAGAGAAGAAGAGAAGAAGATTTCTGTTCTTGCACCCTTGGCCCCAGGGGAAAATGGGGGGGACTGTGGTCCCAAAAATGAAAAACTGAACTGTTATTTTCTCCCCTCTTGGCAGGGCATCCTTGAAAGGAAAAATGCTAAAAGCAGTCTGTCCATCCATGCATTGGTGGTGAGAGCACTGTGCATAGAAAGGAGAGGGTCACCATTGGCAAACTTTTTTCTCTGGGCGGTGCCATGTGTGACGTGGAAGCACAGGATGTGGCAGTTGTGTTTCCTGGGGGGTCTGTGGTACAGGAGGGGCTCCTCTCTCTTGCGATGGACTGAGTATCAATTGTCTGGAGGGTGGAAACCTGATTGGAGATCAGGTTGTGTCTCACTGTAGTTTGTTGGAGTTGGGTGGTGGGAGGAGGAATGCTCTGGAATGTTTTAATTTTGAATTATTTGTGTGTTTATTTTTCTTTTTTTTTTCCTTTTATAGTAGAATAGTAGTAGTAGCTTAATAAAGTTTTTTTCCCCTTGTTATTAGGCTTGGGCCTGCTTTGCTCTGTTCTCGATCGCATTTCACAGCATTCAATTGAGAGATTGCATTTTTGTGGGGGCACTGGCATTGTGCCAGTGTCAAACCATGACACTGACTTACCAGCTGTGTCTCTGAATTCTCGTGATAGAATCTTAACTGGAGCTGGCCAGAAGTAGCAGCTTCTTTTCTCTACCCAAGATTAATTTATCCAGATATGAATTCTTCCTAGGCCTGTATTTTCTTCAAATCCACTTATACCCTTTCTTCAATTTTTTTGTCAAGTTCCTTTAGTGTTTTAAATGTGTTACCTTCTAATAAACCATTATGTGTTCCTCCAAGCAGTGTAAACTGTTTCACACAAACCTTGTAAAGGATGAGCTACATTTTGCATTTAAACTTTTAAGAACTATCATTGGCAATCTTAGTCTTTCCAAAAGTCAGTTAATTTGTTTAAAAAAATCCAGGATTTCAACCATTTTTTCTATAACTGAACAGTAAAATGGAGGAGGGTTCAGCATCCTAAA